ACAAGGGTAAGTAGAAGAAAATAGTGGGGGTGGGAGTGAAGGGGGATATCCCAGGGGTAAACAAGAGTTATGGGCCTCCTTGCTTGGTAATTATGGTACCAGGAGAGTGACCACCATAAGAGCAGTAAAGAGTTCAGACTTTTTCAAACAGTTTCATGTGCGAAGGCACACAATGATATTTGAAGGCCAGTCAGTTGTGGTTAGGTGGGGCAATTATCATGTCTGTGTGTATCTTATTATTCTCCCAGAATGAGGCAGGGGTGCCTGCATAGCACATAAACATACACATACATGGCTAATGATCCCCAAAATGATACCGGTGTGTGTACATTTGGTTTAAACATGCATGCACATAGCTACTGATCCTCACAATGTGGTAGGGGGTTCTGAATAGGGCATAAACATGCACACATATTGCTAATGGTCCTCCTAAAATGAGAAAGGGGTTTCCACATGGTTCATAAACATGTACACACATAGCAAAGCTAATGATCCCCTAAAATGAGGTAGGTGTTCTTCCATTGAACATAATATGCACACACATAGCTATCTGTGAATGAATAAATAACTCCCGTCTTCCACTGTGGAAGTGACAAGCGCCCTCGTAGTTGATTGACACTTCCTAGAGGTACTGGCAAGAAAGCTGTAAGTAGTGTCTTCAGGAGCCTGGCGTTGCACCCAAGATCTACTGATTGATCTGCAGGCTCCTGTTACAGTCTATGTTCACCTTTAGCAGCATTTTACAAAAAGCAACCAATGCAATTCCATATTCCCTGAATAGAACATACCAGCTCTCCTCCATTCTAGAATGGGGGGGGGCTCTCTAGAAAAACTACTGACCCCTTTATCGCCCTCTGTCCTGCTATTTGCAGGGTGGGCTAGGCACTACAATAGTGCACCCACTTGTGGCCACTCCGGGACACATGTGCAGTGTGCTTTCTTCTCTCTAGCTGCAGCGGCTGAGCGGGAAGAAGGGTAATCAAGGGGCCAGTGATTTTTGCAGAGAGACCCTAAACCACAGCTGCATGTGTAATGGGAGCAGGTGCACCATTTGAAAAAAGGAGAAGCACTGGTCTATTTAAGCCAGTCTTTCTCAACCTTTTCAGTTTTAGTCCTTTGTATTAAGTATTTAAATGGCAATATAAAACAGTACAGGATTAACAAATCATTTACCAAAGTGAATTGTCTACATAGTCAAGATGTATACATAGGTGACAATAATATACAGTTGGTTCAAATGTAACATCATCATATCCCCCTGAGGGATGTATCACCTATACAGTTTAGACTATGATCTTTAACCCTGAGCAAAGGTCTAAAAGGTGGATCAAAATTGCACCAAAATAATAAAACAGACAATGCAAGAGAGGGAAAATGAGAGACAGAAGGTAAAGGAGGAAAGAGAGGAAAAAAAGAAGGGAAGAATAAAGAAATAAGGAGAATAGTGCACCCGTCCTGGAAACCTGCCGTGCCTCCAGTCCAATATTGACCTTAGGTGTATGCAACTTGCAGGTAAGATAACCAAGGATGCCATATTTTTTCAAACAGGGGTTGTTTATCCCATAGAACAATAACAAGTTTTTTGTGTAGCATGATCCAAGTTAGCTTCAGTTTCATTAAGGCCATAACAATCACGGAGCTTTTCTAAGCCGTAGCAATAGCTATTTTGGCCACCAGGAACATAAAATATATCAAAGTCTGGGTGGATCTTGGGACGTTGTCTACAGGTTAAATGAGCAATGCAATCCAAGGATCTTTTGCAATATTAACCATAATTACCAAGTAGATTAGCAAATGAACCCATATCCAAAAATGCCGGACCTTGGGCAACCTTTTTAACACAGAGGAGCCCTTGAAATAACTTTCCAGTTCCAGAGAACCCCAGCTAAACATTACTATATCTACAACTCATGATACATTGTGTGGTGGTCAGTGGAAAGAATACTCCTTACTCTTGTAGTTAATGGGAAGAATTACAACCTTACAGATAGCTAAAAAGATCAATGGTGTCAGTGGAAACTTATCTGAGAGGCAAATATTGCTCATTGGTCAAGGAACCCCTAGCAACCTCTGGAGGAATCCTATGGCTCTATAGATGCTTGGTTGAGAAACCCCAATTTAAGCAATATGGAATTGCTCAGGAGCCATTTTGCTCCCATAATCTTGCTCACCAGGGATCTAGCTGACACTTTTCTGCCTTTATTCTTCAATATGGACCTTTCTCCATCTAGTCCCTGAATTGGACAGAATATGCTTTATTCATTGGACAGTTGTAAATATATTGTGCAGTCAATAGTAACAGTATTCACGGATCTGCAAGCCTGTACTGGAAAATTGTAGTCATGTCTCCACTCCCCTCCATCTGGCTGACCCTGGGTGGAGACCAGAGGGTACTTCATTTTTAGCAAGTAATGTGTGCTCCCCACCATATTGAATCATCCAGTTCTGCAGTAGTAAGACCTGATTTTATTTTGTGCTATACATTTCACTTCAAATATTTGAAGTTAATAAAATATACATTACAATATTTAGACTACACAACACTTACAGCATTTTCTGGCACTGAATAAAGTTTGTAAGATTTATCACCACTCCACATTATCAGTCTAAAGATGGATTGGACCTAAAAATAAAATGCAGTGCCTGATAATTTATTGTCACAGCAATCTGCAATACCTTATGTTGTAATATTACCAAAATGACAGGGGAAGGAGCTGCTGAACCTCTCTATCCCACTGCATCGCTCACATATCTGCCAAAATACTTCCTGGTAATTCGCTAATTAACTTACTGGCAAAAATGTGAATAAAACCACAGCTAAATCCATAATGTTTCCCTTTCATTTCTTTAAGTACAAGCAGGATGGGTGTGCGTATATGCTTGCAGGAACTTGCTGGTGGGTGTGGAACAGACTTAAAGGAATACTCCTAACTTAGCCTGCACTTTCCTAATCTTTTCCCAGACATTGCAAAGCCACTGACAAACGTATCTGCTTAGATGCTGTTCCCTATTATTTGTTCTCTACATGGGAGTTCAATTAAAAACCATCACATCCAAAAGTAATAATTCACTATTTTGAGGAATTGGCATTTCAATAATTATCTATAATTCCATATAAAAATCTTACTAAATTTGGAAACATTTACCGTAAGCTTATGAATCCAGTAACTCAATAAACATGTACAGTAGCAAATTTAGAAAACTGGCTGCATACTTGCGATTTTTGGTTCAGCTGGACCAGAAACATGAAAATTTATAGCAAAACTTAATGCAATAGGTGCAGAGGACTGTGAATTCATCATATTTAATTAGTCACTCTTGCAAAGTGTTTGTGTGAAGTATATTAGGACTTTTTTTGTTTTGGACAAAGGTCTCCAGCACATCTTCCAACTGCTGATGGGCATCTCTTCACTCCCCCCCGCATCCCCTTTTTTCCAATTTCCAGATCTGATGTTTGTTTGGAGCCAGTTGCACTTAACGTGTTGGACAACATCAGGCCTTACATAGCATTCAACGGTAGGCCTCTAGGACTTTTTCAGACAAAGCTTGAAATGAGGGTTTCTGGGCAAATTATCTAGCTCCTGATGACCATCCCCTCGCCCTCACCAGCCCAACTGCCAGATCTGATAGGGTGTGTGATGCTAGTTGCACTATCAGTGTTTGGACCACACTCACCATAGATAGCTTTCTTTGTACTAAATTATACTAAATTGGGCAGAGTGCTGCATGAAGTAATATGGATACTGGTGCATGTGAAAACCAAGACTTTCCGATGTCTTGGAGACTGTGTAGGTGATATCTCAACACTTGTGTTCCTGGGTCTGCTATGACCAAAATTCACCAGTGGAGAGGAACAGAGCTGGGAATGAAGGCAGGGAGAACTCTGTACAAGACACATAGGAAACTGAGAACTGACCCTGGCCTCTTCTATTACTAAAATGTCATATTGGAGGGAAGTGGTCATTTAGTGTTTTGCATTGTGTTTATAGTTTCATAGCTGGTTAGCTTGAATAAAGACATAAGACCATATAGTACTGTATGTGGATTTATGTTTCTCGTTCAACTTCATTGAGTGTCCATGTGTCTTCTTGAGTGACCTGAGACTGAATATTTTCTTTCCAATGTTGGAATCGCCATTAAGATATTTGTATACTGCTATCAAATCCCCTCTTAAGTGTCTCTTCTCCAGGGAGAACAAGTTTAATGTTTGTTTAGCACTACCCCCTTAGTCCTGCATAGCCAGTCAGTTAACATTTTCCACACAAGACATTCATAGACAGAAATCAGGCCTTGAGCATTGGTTTTGTTATTTTATTGTGATGATTAGAACGTGGATGGGGTAAGGGGTGTATAGGATGCCCAAGGGAGCCAAAATCTGGGGACAACTTCCTGAACTATTCACAGCTTCTTTTCTCTGTCACGGTTTCCGCTGGAGTACTAGTCAGCAGCTCCAGTTGTACTACCCCAGACCCAAGATGAACTCCTCTTCACCCAGAAATTTGAAGACTCTTCTCCTGAGCATCTGGTTTCTGTTTCTTTAAATGGGTAACAGTCACTAGCAGAGTGCTAATCTGGTTTCCCACCAGAGTGCTTTTTCCCCTATCTGCCGCTTTTTCCCCCTATCTGCCAAGGGGGTGCTGGTGTACTCACTCAGATCCTGTTATGTCATGTCATGTAGAATGGCTGCTGCTGCCAGACCTATCAGCTGGGCTGTTCCTTCCCTGCCATACAAGTGGTCCTCTCTCAGGGGACCAGTGAGTTCTGAGTTTTCCTCTTTTCCAGTTCCAGGCCCCCAGACTGGCCCAATTCCACTAGGCCTCCTGGCTGCCTTGCTCCTCCAGCCTCACATCTTCTTGCTTCTCATTCCTCTCCCACCATCACACTCCTGCTACTGAGCAGGCTCTTCCACTTTTAAGGGAGTCCCAGCCCCTTGCCAAACCTCCTGTCCCTCAGAAGTGCAGCCAACCACTCCTCAGATCCACCCACTGCTTCTAAGGGAGCAGGGGCGGACTGACAACTCATGGGGCCCCAGGCAATAGGGGATCATGGGGTCCCTGTATCCTTGCCCAAACTCAAAAAAACCTATGAAAAAGGTACCAGGGGCATCTCATGGGGCCCCCTACTGACCCCGGGCCCTCGGGCAGTGCCCGAGTTTCCAAATGGTCAGTCTGCCCCTGGGTACAACCAGCTTTCACCCCCGGTATGCAGCCATGCAGGCTGTGTTTTGCACGAGCACAAGAGCCCATTCATTTGAATGGACTCCCGTGCCCCGTGACACACAGGGAAGAAGCCCCTGCACGTCTTTGGAAAACGCAGCCCGCATGGGAACCAAGTACAATTGCGTTTTCCAGTGCAGGCGGCGTGCCATTAGAAATAATGGCACCCGCCCGCAGGTCCGCATTTCTTTGTGCAGGTGGTGCGACTGCATGGATTTTCATACGGATCCGCAGTGCCACCACCCACACATATGTGAAGCTAGGGTTAGGTTTAGGAAGCAATTACCTTTTCACACAGGGCCAGGCAGATTTGGACAGCTTTTTTCCCTTAATAAATGAAATCATCACTTAAAAACTGCATTTTGTATTTGCATGGGTTATCTTGTGTAATAATAACATTTGTCTGATGATCTGAAGTGTGACAAATATGCAAAAAGAAAAAACACTTGCCTGGAAAAGAAGGGAAGAAATGGAGGTAGCAGAGGGACTGACCCGAGTAGTCCTACTAGTAGGTCTCAGCAACCTTCACTGAGGTAGGTCATACAGAAAGTAAGGTGCAGTCAATGTTCACTTGAGCGTTGTGGTCTATCCATGGGTCCCAAACCCTAAGACATTGGGCATGTGTATCTTTTAAGATTGAAGTGAGCTCCTTATGCACCATAATGCTCATCATTAGCTTCTGTTTTACTTCCCCAACATTAAGAAAGGGTTTTCTCTATGCCCGGGCAAGAATTTGGTGGCGGCTAGAAGCAAAAACCATCATTCTCCTCTGAGTCTTAGATAAGGATGGAATAGGTTCATGCAACAGAGCCTCCCAGGGGTTGCCAGGTAAGGCATCATCAAGAATGGATTGAGTAATGCATGGACACATGTCCAGAACCAGATTGCTATGGGGGACGTCCACCAGATGCAGAGGAGCATTGAATGTATTTTCAGTATGATTTAATAAGTTTATGGCTACATTTGTACCTCTGTATTTTGGAAGGGAGATTTGGAAAAAGATCCTGCTTTCTACATCTTTGGTGCATTTCCACAAAAATGCAATCTCCATAGTGATGAATGGCAATGCATATACAATGCCAAAATGCATCACACTGAAATTGCACCTGAATGTTGCCCATAACATGCCGATAATCTATGTGCAGATACTTCTGGAGCCAAAACTGTAACTCTTCAGTATTGGTCAGATGAGCTGAAAAAAATCCATATGAGTCAGAGAGCAGAAATGAAAAGCCACAGAGAAATAATGTTAATTGACAGGTAACCCTATAATTAATTTTGTACATTTGGCAAATGTCACCTTTGAAAAAATATTTTTTTACAGGCAGATTAGAGGAATCTAGCAGAGGAACAATAAAATTTGCAAAAATAATCAAATATATATTTGCAAATTACAGTTTCTTGATGTTCCATTAATTTCTGAAAATGTGCTTAAATTTGCAAAGGGACTTACAGCATCACAAGGGTTAACTCTTTGCCTGGCATCCCTGCAATGCATGGGGGAGATCTCTTTAAACACTAATACTCCCAGCACTGTTTGCCAGCGTGAAATACTCCTGACCAGAAATGAATGGACAGTTTTGGCTCGTGGCCCAATTGCACTTTCCGTGATGGGCTTAATTGGAGTGCCTGGGTTAATTCTCAACCATATTTTTTTATATCAGATGTGTCAGATGATATTGCTCCTCGGCATTAGCGGGCTGTGATTTTGAAGAGGCAGAGTCCATCCTTCAAAGGAATGATGTTCAACATCGTACCTTTAAATAAGAGCCTGCAATTGATTTCTGGGAAGGAGGAGAGACGATCGCTTTGAGAAGCCTGATTGCTACAGTAGTAGAAATAAATGTGAATTTGTGCTGTTCAGTTGCAGTATAGATTGAGGTTATTCCAGTGTGTAGTTCTGTGGGTGCATGCTCAGGGCTTGACTGCTTGGTATGTGTTGAGTGTGAAATGTATTATAATTTATAGCGTATTCAGGGGCGAACTGACAACTCATGGGGCCCCCGGGCAATAGGGGATCATTAGGCCCCTGTGTCTTTGCCCAAACTCAAAAAAGCCTATGAAAAAGGTACCAGGGCATCTCATGGGGCCCCCTACTGACCCCGGGCCCGAGTTTTCAAATGGTCAGTCCGCCCCTGAGCGTATTACATTTTATAGTAATATAATTAAATAACATAACCTGTTATGTCTATCAGAACAACCCATGCTGCCTTCCCAGGGTGCAAAGTGTGTGTCTTCTGCTAGATGTTGTATCAAGTTCTCCATCACATATAAAGTGAACCTGTGAATAACAAAGCAATGGGTTCACCTAAATGCTTGTTTCTCCCCAGCATAGATTTTCCATTTGGCCACTGTGCTTGAAGAGAAATACCCTGTGCTTCCCAGTATGGCTAGCATGTGACTCCTTGCCCTTTCCCTGACAAAGTACTCCTTAGCCTTGTAAAAGCTCAGGCTTGACTACTAGATAAAGCTTGCAGCCAGCAGATGGAGCTCTAGGCTACTCTCCACCTATGCACCTGGCTCACTTTACTAATGTGATGTGAATAGACTTTGACCTGAACAGCAGGAGTTCTAGTTACACATACAACAAAATGATTCAGAGAATGGACACACTTTTTTCCTGATTTGCTACACATATACAGTCATGGCCGAAATTGTTGGCACCCTTGATATTTTTCCTGAAAATCAAGTATTTCACACAAAAAAGGTATTGCATTAACACATGTTTTGCTATACACATGTTTATTCCCTTTGTATGTATTGGAACAAATATAAAACAGAGGCAGAAAAGCAAATATGACATAATGTCACACAAAACCCCAAAAATGGGCTGGACAAAAGTATTGGCACCCTTAACTTAATATTTGGTTGCACACCCTTTGGAAAACATAACTGAAATCAGTCGCTTCCTATAACCATCAATAAGCTTCTGACACCTCTCACACCCGGAATTTTGGACCACTCTTCCTTTGCAAACAGCTCCAGGTCTCTCTTATTGGAAGGACACCTTTTCCCAACAGCAATTTTAAGATCTCTCCACAGGTGTTCAATGGGATTTAGATCTGGGCTCATTGCTGGCCACTTCAGAACTCTCCAGCGCTTCTTTGCCATCCATTTCTGAGTGCTTTTTGACGTATGTTTGGGGTCATTGTCTGCTGGAAGACCCAGGATCTTGGACGCAAACCCAGCTTTCTGACACTGGGCCCTACAGTGCGACCCAAAATCCTTTGGTAATCCTCAGATTTCATGATGCCTTGCACACAGTCAAGGCACCCAGTGCCAGAGGCAGCAAAACAAACCCCAAAACATCATTGAACCTCCACCATATTTTACCGTAGGTACTGTTTTTGTTCTTTGTAGGCCTCATTCCGTTTTCGGTAAACAGTAGAATGATGTGCTTTACCGAAAAGCCTCTATCTTGGTCTCATCTGTCCACAAGACGTTTTCCCAGAAGGCTTTTGGCTTACTCAAGTACATTTTGGCAAACTGTAGTCTTGCTTTTTTATGTCTCTGTGTCAGCAGTGGGGTCCTCCTGGGTCTCCTGCCATAGCGTTTCATTTCATTTAAATGTCGACGGATAGTTCGCGCTGACACTGATGCTCCCTGAGCCTGCAGGACAGCTTGAATGTCTTTGGAACATGTTTGGGGCTGCTTTATCCACCATCCGGACTATTCTGCGTTGCAATCTTTCATCAATTTTCCTCATCCGTCCACGACCAGGGAGATTAGCTACAGTGCCATGGGTTGCAAACTTCTTGATAATGTTGCGCACTGTGGACAAAGGCAAATCTAGTTCTCTGGAGATGGACTTGTAACCTTGAGATTGTTGATATTTTGCCACAATTTTGGTTCTCAGGTCCTCAGACAGTTTTCTCGTCTCCTCTTTCTGTTGTCCATGCTTAGTGTGGCACAGACAGACACACAATGCAAAGGTTAAGTGAACGTCTCTCCTTTTTATCTGCTTTCAGGTGTGATTTCTATATTGCCCACACCTGTTACTTGCCCCAGGTGAGTTTACAGGAGCATCACATGCTTGTAACATTCTTATTTTCCGCAGTTGTGAAAGGGTGCCAATACTTTTGTCCAGCCCATTTTTGGAGGTTTGTGTGACATTATGTCGAATTTGCTTTCTTTCCTCCCTTTTTTTGTTTTGTCCCAATACACACAAAGGGAATAAACATGTGTATAGCAAAACATGTGTTAATGCAATACGTTTCGTGAGAAATACATGATTTCCTGGAGAAATATCAAGGGTGCCAACAATTTCGGCCATGACTGTATATGGATTTTCAGCTGGGCATAGTGAAAAAATTAGCAGATAGTGCTGGACTTAATAGTATGCCCGTAATCTACTGAAGAATCAGTGTCTTGGAAGCACATTTATGTGAAAAATAAGGAAAAAAAGATATAGCTGCCCTCTAGTTACTATTCAAGAAGGAGCCCATTTGCATAAAAAGGAAATAAGGGGCCTTTTTTTTTTTTTTTTTGGCAACACACCCCTTTTTCCATTACCTTTTGGAAATGATCCTCAAATATTCAATTGACCTGTTGGGCAACCTGGACTCTTGGTTTCCAGACATCTTATTAAACCACTAGCTTGACTTTTTATTCATGTCCATACCTGAACAATGGTTCAATGTGGTAGACGTTGGCTACTAAATGTATACATTTTTTTCAAGGTGAAGTTGTGCTGTAAGGAAAGGTATGAATCCCAGCCATTGTATTACTCTTTATTTGTCCCAGAAAGAGTGTTACCACAGCTTTATATTGGACTTTAACTAAAACATGATTGTATTTTTGATCAGAAAGATCCACCTAAGTGTGTATATAAATGGGTGAGGTTACATAACACACACATTATCAGCCTGCATTCCTTGACACCCCTTCTGTAAACCTCTGGCCAGTCTGCTGACAGAAGTACATGATAAAGAACTTTCACTTAGGTAGATGCAGGAATAGATCAGCTT